AATATATAATAAACTTAATGAAATTAGTCCTTTTATTTAAAAGAACAAATACATTTTATTACTGAAAATAGACAAAATAAATGTATAAATATAAGTTTCTAGAACATTTTTTGCAGCAATTTTATGGTTTTATTTTCTTAAATGAAACTTAATTTCCATATTTAACATATAGTTGGTACACCTGATAGAAATTTATTTCATACGTTACTTATACACAATGTCTGTAAATAATGTAAATTAGAAATAGATGAAAATTATAATGGATTTTTTTATAGTTTTGATAAAAATTCAGCTACTTTTATTGAACTTAATTGTATAACAAGTACATAATATATAAAACATCATAAAATTCTTATTATTAATAATAACAATACATTTTATAAAAATTACAATTTAATAATAATAGTTTAAAAAAAATCAAAAAGTAGATTTTATCAAGAATGATTCAGAAAAGATCACTTTTTCTATATATTATAAAACGAATATTATGAGAATAGAAATTTTTAAAGTAATATAGTTCTTTTTTTCGATTGACCTATATCTATTACACGTGTCTGGTTCAATTTGTTGAAATGCCTTCACGATGATTAAGATTTTACGCGGATAATAGAAAATTCTCATGATGCGGCCGTATTTATGTCGCGATTCATAAAATCGACGACTACGCGTGGGCCCCACATTTTTGATTTACACCATTAAATTTAATTATACGCCTAATATTTTTATAAATTGCCTTACGAACGCGCCACGGCAAATTTATTACCTCGAATCGGTGCCCACTGTTTTTTATTCTCTTCTATCCTCCTACCTTGTTCTCCTTCCTCTGTCTCTATCTCATATATATGTAATTACGTGGGGCGAGGCGTCGCGACGCTCGTTTATCAACAGGTGCTTCCTGCTACTTATTACAGTTAAATCATATTTTTTATCATGTTCCGTGGAAACAATGCGCACGTTCATTACGGACCTGCAGATTTATTTGAATCCACTGATAGTAAATTCAAATAAGAGAATGGCTTTATTAAATTAATTACTGCTTTGCTGCGCATAGAATTGCCGTTCCATTTTGCTGCGAGACGTTTATTGCCGTTTATCATTTCGCAAAGAAAGGCAAATGTCAGCTGCAGTCAGCATGAAACTCTGGCTGATCGACTGCACAAAGATCCGATCCAGTCATTCACCGCCTGTCAAAGTATTAACTGGAAACACTACTGAATTTAATTACAGAACGTCTACATGAATCCACAGCAAATTAATGTGTTTCTGCTTGTTTATATGAGTAGTTTTCATTATTTATATTTACTGAATACAAATGCAGACTATAGTTAACACATCGCTTAGTGCTGTTTGAAACCGAACTAATCGAGGACTTTATAACAGCATACAAATAAACAGCAGAAAAGGAGAATTGTCTGTATGGAAAAGAAAGGAGAAACAATTATTTATGTATAAAATATAAATTAAAGCAATTTCGCCATAAGCCAGGAAATACATACAAAAATAACAAAATTATTATTGTGGTATTTTATATTTCTGTTTGTTATATTTAATTTATAACTTCGTAGAATTGAACGAATTCTGTTAAATAATTTTAAGCACATTTTAGCACAGTTTTCTATTTATTAAAATTATAATAGAAGAATTTACCAAATTACAACAAAAAGAATCAGGAGTGCTACAAAGGAGTGTTTGTAATGTAACAATTGCAAAATCCGCTAGTGATACAGCATTTTTTTTTATTCTCTCTACAGTTGGAATTGAGATCATCTCTAAGGAGAGTTAAGAAATCATTAAAGAATAGTACATACAAAAAAGAAAGTAGCAATTACATCTGAGATTTGCCCAATTTAAACCAATACAAACTTATCCTTGAAGTAAATAACTATAAAGGATATTTATTATAACTGTATTAGATTAGATACAGTTATAAAAAAAAAGTTGATTATTACATAGAATTATTATTTGCGTGTTTGCTTCAAACTCGTATGAAATACAAAATAAATGATAGAAGTATTTAAATATAATAAAAAAAATGAAAAAATTTCTAATCAGATTGTTTTAGAAAAATTATTGAGTTCACATCTGTTTTAAATCTATCATTAAATTTGAATTAATTGGTTTTAGTAAATAAAATTAGATGAAACATTAACAATGTTCACCAAACGAGAGTTGTCACCCAGTTTCCTATTTATATGATGATCTTACATTGGAAACAAACAAAAAAAATGTATGTCAAAGTGTGTGTTCGAGATTATTGTTTGCTCCAATTCGGTTTACAATAAAATAGATATGCCGCTTATTGAAAACTTAAATGAAACATAAAAGAAAGTATAAATCGACTGGTGCTGAAAAATGTATGCGCAATATATGGCATGTAGAATATTTGAACGCGATCCAAAAAAAAAACTCCATCCATGTTGCGGTTCCTCCATTCCGAATTTAACAACATCGAAATTTATTAGTCAACTGAAATATTAACGATGCACTCCCGATTAATTACATCAATAGCTACAGATGTACTTGCCACATGGAATTTCAGTTTTATTTATCCTTATTTTTATTTATATACTTTATACTTGTTTTATTTTTCGCTTTCTCTATACATTACTTTTCTATATGTTTTCATGTTGTCGTGATAATTGGCTAATTGGATTTTTCTTCAGGTAAATAGATGGTTCCATAGGAAAATCGCTATGAAAAATGCTAGGATAAGATTCCCATTATTTACATAATAAAACCATTCCTGGCGTTATCTAAACACCCATTAAATATTTAAAAATAAGGTCCGGCGGTCGGCATCCTTCGAAATTATGAAAGCGGCCGTAAAGAAACTTCTAATTGACCTAAAGAGGCAAAATTTATGTGGCGAACTGAAGAATGTTTAATTGCTTCTCCGCGCACATATATCTCTTTTTTCTCTTCAAGTAAATATTTTTTTATAACCATTAAATGTTCATTAACTTTTATATTTATATACGAAATTCATAACTAGTCTCGTTAAAGAGGACCGTTAATATTACCGAGAAAACAAACAGGATGGTAATAATTAATCGTTGAATTAGAAGCGTAAATTAAAACCGCTTTTATTTTCATTTGGAAATTTAATATTGATTTACACTGAAGATTTATTGCACGGTAACCTTAGGTTATATGTTATTGAATTAATTACTATGGAATAGTATGGATATTCTAATGGTAATTAAACATGCTATAGAATATTGCGTATGGCCCACTTCTATTACATCGCACGTGCTGCATGAAAATCTTAGAAACACACTTTTATAAAGAAAAAAAAAACATATTTAGAATCATTTAAAACAAAATAAATAAATTTCATTGAATTAACAATGAAATTCGGAATTGCTGCAATCCGGATTCACTAAAATTAGGTTTGTACATTTTAAAACATATTAAATGTTAATTTGGTAAAATAATCAATTTTAAAACATCAATCAACAATTTTTATATATAAATAATGCTTGTTTCTTTTCGTTTATACAGTAAAGTCTTTTTGTTAAAAGTCCTCGATTAGTCCGGTTTCTAACAGTCCGGGATATTGGTGTAAACCAGTGTTTATTAAACTTTTTGGTCCCTTTAGCACTTAAAAAAATCTGCGACACCTCCAAGAATGGGTATGTGTAGAAAAACAAACGGGATTGATTTGTCATCATTTTTTCTGAGACCTTCACTTTGGGGGTGTTATATTTGATATATATTTGATTTTATAAGTTAAAAAGTGAATTCTTACACATTTTTTTGATGAAATTCATTTAAAAAATAAAGAAATATATATAATTATGAAATGAAATGTTGTAATATATATTTTACACGCGCTGCTTGGAAATCTTAGAAATGTGCTTTTGAGGATGTTTCAAATTTATTTCAGGTTGAAAAGAACCAAAAAAAAAGCAAGTGCGTTCTTATACATTTTTATATGAAATATATATATATTAAAATAAAATAAATAATTATGTAATACTTTTTTCTAATATATATGTTCACACGTGATGCTTGGAATTCTCGGAAATGCTCTATGTGGATGCTGCTAATTTCCTTCGTCTTCGAGAAAACCATAAAGCAAAACAAGTTAAAAGGTGCATTCGTACACATCTTTTATAGCCCTAGTTGAGTGACATTAACCGCTTAATGGATGTGCCCACATATATAACTTTGATATTCCTTCTTTCGAGGCGATTCGAGTTGTTGAAGCTGCTCTTCAGAGACGATGATTGCGTATATTCGCAGCCGAGATATATACACTTAGCATGTATGACATGAATGAACTGAAAATATACGGGCTTTTAGACGGGTTAAGTTTATTTTTACTTGCACCATATCTCATTCTAAATGCAGAACCATTTTAAGGCTCCCACTATTATTACGAGTCATACAAATTTGTCACATTCATTCTGATATTATTGCGGACAGTCGCATATTTCTACAACTAATAAATTATATCCAAGCAGGAAATAGTCATTTTTTATGTTTAATATTTTGAATGGGTTCTTTTTTCCAGTTTTATTTCACTTTTATGATTTTTTTTTCTTCTTTTAAAATACAATTTCCGCTCTACTTTTCAATAAACCATTCATTAATCATCCATAAATACATTTTAAAATAAAATATACATATTTAATTATATACCATTACATTTCGTAATACTTTTTTTAATAAGTAATTTTATATTAACGTTTCAAGATTTGTTTCTATCTGTTTATTTCAATTTATATTTAGAGTCTCAATAATAAGTTTTAATTATGAAATATAGAAAATGAAGTCGAATGAATCCTAATATTGATGTTACGCAATTTGTAAAGAGCAATAAGATCTCGGTACGAGAAGCCTTTCGAATGCTTTCTCTGAAAAACTTCCTACATTTCCGTAACATTGAAGTAAAAGGCTTTACACTTTTAAATAACTTTTGTGTATAATAAAATTGCAGACGAACAAAATAGTCAAGTGATAATAGCTAAATGATTTGTTTTCTTATTATTTTTAAGGATCGGAATTGGGAGGGTGGAAAATGGCCTGAGAATCTCGTTTGGAGGTGAGTTGACCCGGGAATCCAAAATAAGTGAGATTCCCCCAGGGTTGGTGTCGGACAAATAAGTTGTCCGAAATTGTATAGAAGATGTTGGAGTCGCTCAACGAAAACCAATAGGATGAGCGTCTCGGTGACCGCAGAAGGCACCGAAGACGCCGCGACGGTCGCCGTCGTCGTCACCCCCTTCGAAGTCTTTAATTCCGGTTCGCAAACTACCGCGATTCCTCCCGACTTCAATAACTCTAATGCACTCAATTCCTTCTACTTTTATAAGGTAAGACAATATTATCTTATTGCTATGATAGTTTTAGCTGGTAATTGTTATAAACATATATATGTTAAAGTTAAAAAAATCATATGAACTAAATATAAGGACAGAAAAACAAATTAATTATTATTTATTCAATTTGTTGAAACAGGAATGTCCCAAATAATATATACGTTTGATAATTAATGTTCATATAACTTTCAGTTTATATACGCATTCACTAACTTAATTTCATATAAACTTCCTTTTCAAATTAATTGAGAAATATTCGAAGTAATTTAATATGAAACTGAACAACATGCATCAACTTGTATAGAAAACTTTAACTTTCATGAATTTCTATCTGCGCTTCTCTATGTAATATATATATGCATATAGTGATTTTCAATTTAGCTTTACAAATATTGCAAAATTACACTGTAATATATTATTTTATTATCACACATGAGATGATATAAAAGGAGTTTTTCCAATCCGGCCGAAGACTTAATGAAATATGAAACCTTCCATTTTCGATGGTGGTACATTAGATTGGTTTGTAATTTCAACCCATAAAAATTATGATGCTTTCCGAATATACGTTCTTTTCTTATTATTGTCATAATCGATAAAAGCAATTAAAATCTATTTAACCTTTAACTACTCGCGCACTGAAAATTCTATGTACTACTCGCGCTATGTATTTTATACACCACATGTATTACTGCCAGACAAAGTGCATAAATGATTGTATTACGACAAGAAAAAGTTAACTAATGCTTTTTTATTAGATTCATAACTATTTGTAATACATAATAATATAATTTCAGAATCAAAATTGTCGTCATTGCCCTCTGTAAGCTGATACCTCTACTCATAGGTATCAGCATCGTCTGCTATTACACCAACACTGCAGAGCAAGAACAAACATGCAGTCAACACAATATTGCACCGATTAAGTGTCATAGATGGGGAAAGAAAATATAGATGTTTTAGAAAATTGGTGAATTTTTTCACCGGCGCGAGTAGTTAAAGGTTAAAAAAATGTATTCTAGATATAAATAATTATTACAATAATATAATAATCTGTATCAAATTAAAATAACTTGTTAAATAAACCATTTAAGGAATATTTGAGCATCTTTTATAAAGTACATGACATACTATAAGTAATTACATTTAAATTGTTAGAAATATTAGTAGACTATGCGCATTTTTAAATACATATACTCTTACGTAGGTGACAAATAAATAAAGAAAAAAAAATCTAATTTATCAATTTTATTAGTTTAAAGAAACTGTTTTATATTATTTGAATATTAATTCAAAGTCGTAATTTTCATCGTACAACTACGTTGAATTATAATAGTTTGATGTAAACAGAATTATTGCACAATGAAATTTATATATATATTGAATTCATGATAATATATTAAATTAGTTATTAAAGCAGTTACAAAACTATATACTAACTATCATAAACTAAATAATGAAGGTTTATATTATAGAATGTTTGATGACTATAATTGGATGAAAATATTCATAGTTTGAAATCTGAATAATTAGAATAATTTCCATGCAATAATTATAAAATTCTATTGACCATAAGTCTTACTGCCCAATATTTGTAACTAATAGTTATTTTTGTATTTAATATCTTAATTACGATACTTGACAATTATTTAAGTTACTTTAATTTTATTTTACTGTTTTAAATTTGTAATTGCAACAATATTAGGAAATAAAAAAATAATTTAAAATGAAAATAAATTTATTTACAAATTTTGGTCAAAATATTATTAATTTCGAATATCAATTTTTTCCTAAACTTTGATATCAATAATTATTTTAATATAAATTCGATGTAGCACAAATTAACTGAAAGATATGTGGCTATCTTAACTACGTATATAGACACATTTTTTTTAATCTAATTGTACCAGGATTTCCGGCGCACTTTATCGTCGCAAAAGAATCCTTCCGACTGTTGTAAATCCCGGAATACTTTAATTGAATACTGGGAAACGAGTAAATTCTATTTCCCGTTGGTTCGATGGTCATCACCCGACGTTTTAATTCCAAAAATAAATCCAGCTTTCTATACTGAGTATCACTAGGATCTAGATCTAGAAAGTTAATTACTTTTTACATTATAAAAAAAATAGTTGATTTCAGTATTTGTCTATTTATTACAAATGAATCTCGCTTAACGAGTTTAATCCGTTCAAAAATAGTGAAACATTTTCAAAAACACACATAATATGTGTACAAAAGTTTAATATTTGATGTATTTTCAACAGATATTAATCTCTAGTTCTAATTCATGTTTAACTTGAGAGCAACTTCAAAGTTTATAAATTTCTATGAAGCTCCATCCAACTGCATAGCAAAACCAGAACGTAATTAACAAGCAGCAAATAAAATCTTTATGAGTTACATAATAGACATTCATCTTTTTTTATATACCTTCCTTGAAACTTATTGTTTTGCAGCAGTTATGCCTTATGACCGAGCAGGATGTAAATCTTATTATTATATATATACGTTTTTTCTCTCTTTCTCTCTCTTGCGATGCGCGATATTTTTTAGTAAACAAGACGAGAATCCAGCGGAATCTCCTTGAATTCACCCGCCCCGAGCAGCGTTTCCTTTTACTTCCGAGATTTTTCTAGAGGGGGGTTGAAACGGCTGAGCGCCCTCGGGACAAAAATTGCGTCCGGTTTTTATTATCACGTCGGTTGGTGCTGAAACTCGATTCCGGGGAATATGAAAGGACAGAAAAAAAATATAAGAGAAAAAAAAACTTTAAATTAAGGACAACGGCAAATCCGATTATATTTTATTTTCATGGAGTTTGCAGGAGATCTTATGTAATGAATGGATATGTCGATGCAATTTCAATCCAATGGAACTCAATCAATGCGGTTTTGCAAATGAACTGAAGTTTTATACTCGATTTAGTTCCAGTAACTAATGCATGTAATCACATGCAAAATTCGTTCTGAGCATTTCAATGGTTTTTGTTTCGTTGTTGAAATCGTTTTCACGATTTGTATAATTTTGCATATCTATTCAAGTCAACTCGCTGTGAATACAATACGTACTTTGGTAATAATTTATAATGCAAGTTATAATTATGGTTATATAAACCACGTGCATGTGGGAGTTGTCTACGAGCCACTCGTAAATTCTGACTTTACAATAAACCCGACTTGCATACGTGCAACAAATTTATCTATCTCTTTATTCCGTCATTTCTTAATCAAATATCATGTCTTACATAATTGTTAACTTTATGCAACGAAGCTTACGTTATTATTACCTATTCCATTATTCCATCATACGATGAAGCATTCTCACATTAATCAGTTCTTTCCATAAAATCCAATAAGACTATAACAGCATAAATAGATACAATTTACAAAAAAAAAACAGTTAAGTTTCCTTGAATTCATTTATTAATAAATAAATTAAACGTTTCTCATTGCTTAAAAAACTAATTTCATTCATAGCCTATGATTTATTTTCATTCTCCTTAAACAGATCACCCGATTAACAAACAGTTCAGACTACGTATAAATCTGACAACAAACACTTTAGTGAAAGATTTTAGTGATGATATAAAGCTTAAATCATATCTTAAATTGATGATCAACCACTATATTCTAATGCTGTTATTTTTCAACAATATTTTTATTATATTTATTACAATTATTAATACATAATATGAAAATAACTTAAAATAAATAAATTATTTTGACAATGATTGTTCTTAATTAATTTCTTTTAAACTTATATTTAATATTTTGAATTTATTATACAAAAATCTTGAATAATTATTTTATACAAATTATAATTAATACAATAAAAATTATTGTATTATAAACTTTTTTCAACAAAAATCTTCAATAATAAAATATTTATATTATTGCTATGACTGAAAATATTTAATTTAGTTTTGACTGTAGCAATAAAAAATATTATTATTCAATTTCTTATTACAAGTAAATTATTCAAATTGTAGTATTGTAAATTATTAGCTGATATATCATAAAATTGTACTGAAAACAACAAAATTGTATGAAAATATTTCTATTGGGTATTTTATGGGTTCGAATGATTTCGCATTATATGAAGTATAAGTCGATATTATGATATATTATTTATATATATTTCTGCATTCGTCATTATTCTTTTGGGTGGGTTTGAATGGATTTTTGCCCCCATTTTCTCAATTCATTTTTTTCTCTTGTTCCTCCTCCTTCGGTTCGGTTATTTTGCTGTCATCATCGTATATAGATCACCATGACGGGCTTAAGGGGAGCGAATTCTGTCCGAAGACAATTCAGCTTAATGCTGGCTCTGATATGGAGGCTCGAATATATTTTCTATTTATTTTCAAAAGGATGACAGATTTATAAAGATCCCAGCATTATGTATGGGACGTGCATTCGCGTGTATATATATATAAAAAAAAGAGAGAACGATCGAGATATCTTTGTGTGCACAAATGATAGGGCGCAAAATATTTTTGCACTTAGCCCTTGCGCAGACATAAAGCACGGAACGAGGCAACAGTAATTGCTTGAATGCGGAATGATATATTTTTTTAATATAAATTTGGCACTGCTCTGTATTCCGAGGATGAAACGTGGTAGCTCCGCTGTTGTTGTTCTAGTCACGTAATCGGAATAGATAATAGAGGGCGTTCCTATGTGCGCGGATTTGAAAGTAAACACCACTGAAAAAAAGGGAGAAGATTCATCCTCTTTTAGAGATTTTAAATAACATAACGCCTGTCGATGGCGCTATATCCCTTTATGTCACGTTTGGTAATATAGGAGGCACGGTAAAAAATTGGCCGAACCTCGCATAACTATGTATTACAGCTCACCCTATCCTATTTTAGGATAAATTACATGCGCGAAGGATCACGTCTCTGCTCATCTCTTTCAAGATTAACTTAAATTTAGGTGCATATATGTTATACTTCAGATGCGTCGACTCCCAATAACTTTATATTACAAGTTATGCAGTTTTCAATAGAAACATTATTAAATTCAAAAATTTAAATGCATATCAGTTATGCTTCAGATGCATCGACTCCCACTTTGCATTACAGTTTTCAATAAAAACGCATTATTCAATTTAAATGCACATAAGTTATACTTCACATGCATCTAGTACTTATAACCTTCCTGTTTTTATTAGAAACATTATTTAATTCAAAAACTTAATTAAGATGATGCAATTAATACTTCCAATGTTACATCAACACTATACGTGATTTGAAACACAAATCCCTGTCAAGCGTGCACAAGTGCTATTGATTATCATGAAATATGATTAAACGGATACTGAATTAACAGCTTCAATTAAACACTATGCTGAGATGTATACATATTAGTTGATTCTCATGAGGGACATATCACAGATATTCTGATTACATCATTGGAAGCGTTAATTACAGCATCTAATGAAGGTTTTGAATTCTAAATATTCTATTATCTATTCCTTTGTTTGCGAAATTTATCATTATAAAATTAGTAAAATCTTAATATACTGATTGAAAGAAATTTTTTTAAATTTAAACAAAAAATGTTATATCCACAATATAAAGAAGATATAATATAATAGTTGTTTGAAGAAGTAATTTTTGTTTTAATATTATCATTGTTGTGAATGAAAATATTTAATTTTTTTTCTTTTACAATAAAAATCATTATTATTAAATCAAGGAAATTATTTTGCATTTTTGTATGTTTTAATTAGCTGTAATAATAAATATAGTCAATAAGTGTATAAACAATAATATTGTAATTAGTATTCTATTGTAATATTAAAAATATTGCATACTTAAATGTTAAAATAATTAATTAATTAATATTTTTTACTAAATTAACAAACATCTTGACTACATGAATAATATCTAGTTACTTTATTAACGAAGTGAGTTTAAACATATTTTAACAAACTTTTCATCTAATTGTATTCTTTTATATATACCTATATATAAATTCAGCAGTGCTGCAGTATATTTAGACTATGAACGCCGGTAAAGTACCAAATGAACCCGAGGGAAATATGCGAGGGGGATGCTCCGAGACGTATAATAAATACGGCGGTACGGAGCAAACAGTAGATTAGAGTCAAGTGCGTTAAGTAATTGGGTTAATGCAATGATCTTCCTTCCATTCGGCAAACGAAACTCTTTGGTTACGCAATTGATAACGTACGCCGCTAAATGTTCTTATATGTTAAACTTAACCTTTGCAAATCAATACTCATCCGTTCATAAATTATACGCCTATTGACATTCACGCGGAGAATCATAAATCCCTCTGATCCTGCTCATATTTACGAATAAAACGCATTAACAACTCTTTTAAACGTTAATTAATTTCACCAAAGTTAATTAAAAAAATAAATCAGAGAGGTATAATAATAACCGAGGCATCAGTTCGTAAAACTAAACATTGGATGGTTTCACAAATCACCTGGACATAATCTATTCATTAAATTTGATTTTCATTATTAAGTGACGAAAATACAGCTACAATTTATGATTTCGACCTTTCCACCTTTCATCAAATCCTCTCTTTGATACCGAATACCGTTTTAAAAAATTGACCATAAATTATATTAAAAATATACATAGATTTTTTTTCAGCAAAGCAATTAATTCGTATTTATCATCAAAACAATGTATTTTTAAATTAATTAAGTCTACTAATCATGTTTTTAGCCCGGGATTTTGAAGCATTTTATAAAATAGTTAAAAACTTTATAAATATTAATTAAATTTATATTAACATTATTCGTGAGGGAATTTTATATAAAAAGTTTTAATTGCCTTGATATTTATAAAATGAAATATAATATAAAGTTGTTTTAATAATTTATGGAGATGAATCAAGTATAAAATATGTAATAATAGTGGTTGGTGGTAATTGTTTCTAAAGTACAGTACTTATCGTTTAGCTTTGCAATTTGCTCATGTAATTGGAGAACATATTGTTTTATAAAGAGATTGGTAATAGATAGTCACGAATCAATTAAACTTCAATTTCAATGGATTATGAAATAAATACAAACTATTATTTAATCAATTATAATTACTTTCATCTGTACAATATATTATGTTTTTTTTTATTATTATTACAACGTTTTATTACTAGTTTTAGTTTTTGTCTTTATCAAAGAACTATTTTTTTTTATTTTGTAAATTTCAATAATGTAATGTTAAAATGGATGACAATCCTACTCAATATTTCATCAAATTGGTAATCCTGCTCTGTCATCGCCAACTCAATTCTAGCAATGACATAATTTGAAACGATCAAATCAAGTCCAAGTGACAAAAATGTATATTTGAAGAACTTTTATTTGATTTTTTTTTAAATATTCCATTTCTTTGAAATTTTTGTCATTTCCGTGCGAAGATATTTGATGTAAATGTAAAATGCAAATAGAAAATTGTATATTTTCGGACTACTTTGTCAGAGGTTGTTGAGATTTATACAATTTCAGCATAAAATGATTTGATCTGCGAGCGATAAACTGGCAGCAAGTCTTAACATTCGGAAAGTCGTAAATGAAAATCTTTTATGACGGGATTTTATTTTAGCAATGGGAAGGACTAAGGGCTGTTTACCAGATATGACAGGGATAGAGAAGAGAGCTTTTTAGCTTATTAGATAGTAATTACGTCCTTTCAAAGTGACCAATTGCAATTTAAATGGTATTATTTTTTTTATAATTTGAAAATTTGTATATTTTATGAGCGGATGATTTATGAAGATATATTCCGTCAGATGGTAACGAGTGGTGGTAGCAGCACGTGACACCACTTCCCGACTTTTTGCATTACATTATCGTATTAAAAAGGAGGACTTCTTTACGGCATTATATCTTCGGGTAATTTAATATAACGACTGCTGGAATTACAGCATAAAAAAAATAGAGATGAAGAGGCAAATCATAAATGGCAAATGTTGTGCCATCAAGACACTCAAGACTTTTTCTTGGGATAATAATTTAGCACTTCCTGGTATTCTCCAACTATTTTTATGATTACTACTTGGACCCGTTTTTTTTTTCTGCCTTTTTTCGTTCACTTTTACCCCCATGGAAAACGGAAGACGATAAAGGAGAACAGTAAATGTAGTCGTCGCGTATTCGTTTTCTCTGGCTGGGGCCAACGTCTCGTAGATGTCCTTGCATCCTCGTACGCGAAAATTGAAAAATCCCCCTTCGAGAATATCATTATACATTTTAAATATGAATAGCTGAGACTTTGATGTGATACACTAAAGCCGGGAAATGAGAAAACATTTCCATTTTATTAATGGAACAAAAAACGTTCATTTGTCAATATTAGAATCAATCAAGTTTTGTGGGAAAGGAAAGAATGAACAAAAAAGTTTCCTTGCATGCTCGATTTCATTCCCCTCTGCTGAGCCGCACCAACTTCTATCCAGAGTTTGGCCCATATATTATGAAGCCCTTTTTCTTCGTCTATGTGGATGTGCCTAAGCCCCGACACTACAGAAAGAGAAAAGGACGAAGGAAAAAAGTAGGCTGTAAAAGTCAAAAACACGCGTGTTCTGCTTCCGACTCGCTCTATATATATTATATAATAGAAACAATAGGTGAAATAAGAGTGTAATTTATTATATATATAGGTTGAAGCAATATGTAATTTATTTACTTAAACCCCACAATCTTTCAGTGTGATATGATAAAGAACCTTGTTATCATATACATACATAACAACATTAATAAACTTTGAAATTAGAGCCAATAACTGATAGAATAATCTACATATTACGAAATTACAAATAATAAGAAATAATCAATAATTAGTGTAACTACTTCTAGTAAATTTTAACATTATTTTTATATAAATAATTATTTTATATTAACAATTATATGAACGTTATATTATTATTAATAATTATTTCATATATTACAGTTATTTTAAGAAAATTTATGTTTTATTTTACAGACTGAACAATTTACTGTGCTTTGGGTCCTTTTCGCAATGATCGTCCTTGGAAATTCAGCAGTATTGGTAACGCTACTAGTAAATAAGAGCAGAAAATCCCGAATGAATTTCTTCATCAAACAACTAGCTATTGCTGGTAAGAATTTTTTTTAACAAGATTTCATTTTATTTCTTTTGTCACATTTTCGTCGGACAAAGAATATTTTATTTAATTTTCGCTGTAGGATATAAAGGATACACAACTGTCGCTTTTTTTTGCGTGCTCAAAGGTCCTTTTGATCTTTCAATGTAACCGAAATCCCCGCGTGCAATTGAATATTCCACGTTCTATATTTCGCATCACTCTTTCATATCCATCCATTCTGTCCGCACGAAGCGTGACCTCGCAATTCTTTCGTAATTTTGAGTAAACTAAAAGCAGACTAGAAGGTGCTTAATTGAGGATTTGTTGTATTATACACATGCCATTTCGTCATTAACGATTTTTTTTTGCTTACGTATTCTAATTACAACGTCAATTATTAGCTAAAATAGAAAACGAATTTGCAAGGTGTAAATCATTTTTTTTTCTCCCTAAGTCATCAATTATGAAACGGCAGACATTTAGTATTAGCTCTTACGCAAAATGGGTTTGTTTCTGCTCGAGGGTTAACGTTAACTTAATGAAGATTCTCGCTTTAATAGAAAGGAAACACGTCACGTGGATGGAGATTCATTAATCGATCGATGTGCGATTAGTTCGGAGAGATCTAGATTGCCGCAGGTCGTTGTCCCAAAAGCGACCCTCGATTTTCCGGAAGCTTGATCTACCCCCGAATTACGCCGGCCCAAATGACTTTGCCCAAAGGAAATCTATCGACAAAGAGACCAATGAAATCGAAAAATTTTCATTAAGGTTTTGGGCGAAACAACTTTCAAAATCAACGTAATGCTGCATCCGCACTACGCGTAATACGACACAAAAATATATATTAGTTCCACCAACTAAAATTCAACTAAATTACATAACAAAAAAAAAACAACACCAATTGGTATTCCTGAGTGTCCTTTATGTCACATGTTTCTCATAGCGTGTATGCAACTTGAAATCTAAATATATCGCGACTCGGTAATTTATATTAATGCGTTTTACCCTTTCATGGATTTATTGTTATGGGGTTTTCGTCCGTTGTCAAATGTATTGAGATAACTGAAGTGAATGTTAAAAGCATGGAACCCGCGCAATATTTAACCTTTTCCACGCATATATTTTGTATACATACACTTCGGTATATCTGCGGACGAGAATTCTGTAAGTTATTATTATTTTTTTTCGAACGTCTGAATCTGCTTTTATTGTTGATTTAATCTCGGAGCAATTCAAAAGGTTATCCGCGCCATCGATCACAGCTCTTGTTCCATCATCATTTCTATGTAGATTCCCGCACGAAATTATATTATTAAATAATTTTATTGTTCATCTGCGTAATTTAAATGCAAACTAACATTTCATTTCGATTTTATAGCGTATTAATATTTATAGATAATAAACATTATACTTTGCGTTAATATTTCAACAATAAATCAGTATTGATGGTTACGACTGATCATCTTAAAAGTCAATAGAAACGACATATTTTTATAGAAACTTGAATAATGTATTTAAATTAATTCGAGAACGAAGTTATGGTCAATAGCCCTTTCACATTACGTTGCTCATCCAATGAATATTCCTGTATACTCATTAGCTAAGTGTACAAGAAAAACTTGTATTTATACTTTTATATCATTTGGGAATGCGTTTTATTAGTACAATAAATAGAAACGTGGATATATTTCATTTGCATCTTGTTTGTGAACATTATTTCTAAGCTAGCGACATTTTATGTAGGATGAAGCACGAATCCAACGAACACGAAGAAAATGTACAAAACGTATGAAATATTACAGATTTGGCTGTCGGTTTGATAAACGTCTCAACAGATATAGTGTGGAGGATTACGGTCGCCTGGCACGCGGGGAACATCCTCTGCAAGCTGATTCGGTTCTTGCAGGCCGTGGTTACGTATTCCTCTACGTACGTCTTGGTAGCCCTTTCGATCGACAGATACGATGCCATCACACATCCGATGAACTTCTCCGGTAGTTGTAAGTATGAAGTTGATGTGTCTTCTGTTTTTGTTTTCAGTAACCAGGAATTTTAGGTGAGAAATGACCGTAGTGGAAAAGTGTTTTGTAGGTGTACTGTAATCGAGATTAGATTACTATCGGAACTGGTTTCCAGTTCACATTCAATGTAATCTTCGTGCTCAACTCCTGTAGGCAGTACACCTGTTGACAAGTTCTCTAGTGTATAAGTGCACAGATTATACAACCGGAATATTCATAAAAACATTAACTACTAATTTATACAATTCGACGTACATCTTGTGGAATTTGTCAGACAGAATTTGGGAAATCATTTTCATTGCTAACGTAAAGAAAAATCTTATCATTATTTATTGGAAAGTTTAATCGAATACTGGAGATAAATTATCTTTTTGTAACCCATAAAATATTATCAAATCGCTGCATTAATTCCCAACACGGGTCATTTAACTTAGTGAAGGAAATTCAGTTTACTCTTAAAGCTTTAAACGAAAATCAATGACAAGTTATAAACACCGCTCGTAACCGAGACGTCTCAAAAGACATAATACACACCTCAACATGAAACTCTTCGTATTGGATTATTTTCATTGTAATGGGATTTACTTACAGTATATAAAAATTTCTATTATTTTCAACTCAAAGCAATATTTTATTTTTATTTAATAAACAAATTGTTTTATTTGTTTATTACATTTATCTATTAGCTTTTTATATTTTCCTGAAAAAAAATCATTTTTATACAAATTATTTATTAAATGATTTATATAAAAGCAGTATTTTTGTTCTTATATTATATTGTAAATAACTCGTAAAAATACTATTGAATCACTTCATTGAATTCGGAACACAGATCATTTAACTTAATGGAGAAATTTTAGTTTATACTTAAAGTTAACCAAGAGCATTCAATAAAAAATCAATAATAGGTAACAAAATCCAATCGAATTGAGTTATTTATATCCTTATTTTATGTTATATTTTATTGGTTTATTAGTGAAACGATTCCTTTGAGCATTACTGAACGTTTTATAAATTAGCGTCTCTTAACATTAATTATAATAATTTTCCACTCGGATTAAAACTTTTCCTTGAAAATAATTAGTAAGCTTATTCCTCGCTCATTTAAAGGATTTTTTTTAAACTTCAAAGACACTTTCGTATATAAAGTTTTTTTTTTAAGATATTATTTATGTTAATTAGATTTATTTAAAGTTAATTATTGTATAGTAGACTTTCAAATTTTCTACCATCAAATTTGTTTTTTTTATTGAAAGTTGGATAATAATAGAATTTGAAAATATTGTAAATTTCATTTAAGAATTTGGAGTAAGGAGATTATATTGAAACAAAAATATGAATTATATGTGAATAAAAAATGTACGATTCTTAAACGGTGTTTGATCGTTCTAGTTGTGGGGATTTGGATGTAATTAGTAAATAGTGGTGCAGTGGTGGAGTATGTTTGCTCGGACTTAATACGTTAGTTACGGGTTGTATGCATTCTGTTTACAGGGAAACGAGCTAAAGTTCTAGTGGTGATTGCCTGGGCGTTAAGTTTCATCTTCTCGTTGCCGACGGTGTTTCTGTTCGAGGAGAAGCCCATCGAAGGTACGCTTTTTCCCCCTGCAATTTCCTCCACCATTTTAATACTTAGTTGCATCAGTTGGTTCGAATTACTTCGGAGCACAGCAAATAAGACTTTTTCTCTATTCCCAAACTTTCATAACGTCCGAAGACTTTTTGGTCCCTAGATATTGATCCTTTTCGCGCTACTGTGGCGGCATCAATTCCATTCCTTCTTTTTTTTCCTACCCCCGTTGTTTACGCTTTCTTCTCTCACTCAATTCTATCTGCTCATTTAGTCGGAAAATTACCAAATAAAAACAGCAATCTGGAAATATTATCAACGGCCAAAACAAAGCCATGCATTTCTAAATTTAGATCGGGACGACCAAATACACCGTTTCTTTCTTTCCTTTTGTCCTTTTTTTTTTCCTTTCCTTGTTGTTTTTTTTTTGGTAAAAATACATGCATTTAATGGCGGCAAAACAAGACGTTTATTGCCGTCTGCGAATACGCTGCGAAGAAATGAAGCGGAGATGGAAATGTGCCGAGAACCAATTATCCAGTTCAATTTGAGAGGAAATTTGCATTTCAGTCGAAAGGACGAGGACGATAATTTAATTGGACTCTATTGTATTACTACATTTTAATTACTATATATTTTTAGGTCTGCCTCAATGCTGGATAGATTTAGAGCCTTGGCAGTGGCAAGTCTACATGACCATAGTCTCGCTAATCCTGTTCGTCTTTCCCGCGCTCATCATCAGTGCGTGTTACGCAGTCATCGTCTGGACGATTTGGTCAAAGAGTAAACTTCTTATTCCCGTCGGACATGTACCGATCAGACACGGTAATTCACTACATTTCTATTTAATTAGTTTTAACTCATTAAACTAAACTCGGTAATAATTCAGTCCTACACGAATCGTGGTTACCATAATGACATACTGTCAGCGCAGTCCATTGTTTATTACATTTCATATTATCCTACTAAAAGATATATTACACTTAATTATACAGTAGTCGACCATCAAAATAAATGTAAATAAAACAGTGCAATTAAAATTGTATTTAACCATTAGTACTAAATGTACATTTTATTGAGCTATTGACCACAGTATTTCGACATTTGTTGAAGAAATATTTTATTTACATTACTTTACTCTTAATTCATTATCAATATTAGAATAATTAAAGTACATGCGTTACAGATCGACTTTTGATTATATAACATTATTAAATATAATTGATTAATATTTCATTTTCTGCTCTCGTGTGTTATTAGTCACTTCTGTATAATATGAATTTCCAATTGCGTAATGTATTAGTATAGAGATGTAAACATTTAATAAGTGTTAAGTGTTACACGTTAAATGTTGCTCTCGGTTATTTACTATTGAAGATTCTCTCCAATCCGGTACTTATGAAACAGGCATCTCTAACGGAATGCATTGCAAACCACTTCAGTACGTGACTATACTTGTCTATGCTACATGGTATTTGATTAGTTACAATTGCACTTCTAATATTACATAATAAATGTTTAGGTATCAATAGAAAATTTTGTCTTTACTTTCAAATTTATAAATTGTATATGTATATTGTTTTAACAGTTTCATAATTTTGGGGTCTATGTGATTTTTCGTTCATGAAAAAAATATAAACCTTTTATAATTTAGTATTCTTTGTGGAACTTGTATAGGTGAGGAACGTAGGGAGCGTCCGCCGAGATTCCAAGATGAGCACGATTGCAGACGTGCCAGTTCCCGTGGGATAATCCCGAGGGCGAAAATAAAGACGGTGAAGATGACGTTTGTCATAGTTTTTGGTAAGATCGTCGATGACATAATCAAAGATAACTAAACATTTTTTCTTCCATTGATTTAGTTTTCGTAATATGTTGGAGTCCATACATAGTATTCGATTTGCTGCAAGTGTACGGTTACATTCCAGAAACCCAAACCAACATAGCCATCGCCACATTCATACAGAGTTTAGCCCCGTTGAATTCCGCCGCGAATCCAGTCATCTACTGTCTCTTCTCCACACATCTCTGCCGGAATTTAAGGTACGTCTGCGAAAAGATGCTAACAATATGCTGAAAGATACATACATATAAATACACATACAAATGAATATATTAACAGTAAGACAAATTGCAAAATTTGTTGAACGCTACACTTTAAGTTGAGACAGACACGCACACATTAAAAACCATTTTAGATGTGGAGGATTATTAAAAAACGTAAAAATCGATCCGTGCAGAAAGTTGCCACCGTTCACATGGATGTCCGGATGTCTTTCAATGTGCTTTCCCGGATTCCAAGGGCACTGTTTGGGAAGTGGGGATTCCAATGCCGGCACCGTGACCACATCTTTGACTCACTCAACCAGAAGATCGGCCTCTGCAGCTTCACTGAGGCACACCATCCGCCTCCAACCGGCTCTCACTAATAGTCACAAAGTCGCCATTTCCGTCGTCTAGTCATTTCTAAGTAATTCCTTAGGTACAGTCAGTCACTTAGTCTCCCTCCCCCCGAGCCCTCAAAATACTCTCATGTATTTTATATTTATTGTAAAACTTCCAATGTATTAATGTATATAGGACTTCATGTGGATATTTTCCCTTGTAAATACGTATTTATTATTTATTTAAAAGATGTATATATATTATATTTCATGGATATGTGGAATTTATTGACAGAGCGCCGCATTCTTGTTTATTTATATTAATGGAAAATTTAGATTATACAAAAAAAATACGAAAACAAAAAAAATCATACAATATATACATATATTTTCTTAATAATTTATTTAGGTCATGTTATTTCCTGAGCGGGAAAGGATCGGATCCGCTCTTTTATAGACGTCATGAATTTCATCAACCCCATTATAACATATATCTATATTTACATATATATTGTGATACATATTTAAAAAAAAATATATGAACATGAATAATGACTGTTGTACTTCCCAGTAGAAAACAATACGATAACTAAATAAATTCTCTCTATGGAAAACTAATTTCTTTAGTCAATTCAATTTTGTTATTATTTTTATTAATTTTGCTGTTATTACAAAATAATCCCAAACAAATTCTGTTTATTAAACTTATAAAAGGTAAGTAAATTAATTTCATAAAAAAACTTACTTCTTTCCATAATAAATTTGTTTTTTAAATGATCATAACAATGATTTCTAATAACAATGATTCTTGCTTTCTCTTTTATTGTAACATTTGTTAGTTTTTGAATATTAATATTTTAAGTTTTAACCAATTATTTATACTGAGTTATTAATAATAACTGTAAGATTATATTTTCCTACCAAATACAATAAGTACGCGAAAAGCAGCGATGAGTAAATAACGTCACTCTTTGATGATGTATTAAAACCAGTTTTGGGTTTAATGGATCCTAGAACTTATCGTATTGCGAAATTGTCTCTTGGGAGAAATAGTTTCTGGCATGTCGTGTCCATGCTTTGAGTATAATATAGTATCGACTTTTTAGAAGTAGCCTTTACTGATGACGGACACAATCTTTAGACTTATATTGATTTACGATTAATACATTTTTGATGCAACGAAACACACATTTATGTTTAATATTCGATTCATTTGAAATATTTGGTATATGATGTACCAAAGTAGGTATAAATATAATTTGTTTACAACTGAATACAGTTGATTGAACCTGGGCATCCGCTGTAAAGTGTTTTTTATTGTTTTCAAAATATTGCGGATATAAACATATAAGTTTCACGAGAGATTAAACATATTGGAATGGTTAGATGTGCGGTGAGAAGAAACGATGTGCGGTTCGGATCATCAAATTTTTATTTTTTCTTTCGTGTAAAATCTGCCAAGAAATGGCTTATGACGTGTCTCTTGTAATAAAAGTTGAGAAAACGCGTCGTCTGCACCATAAAATATGCATTCGCGAGATGTTCACCCCATTTGGCTTTAACGTGGCAAATGCTAAAATTGTATTATTTTTTTCACTCTCTCTCTCTCTCATACTCAGTTTGCGAGCTGATGTTGCGGGTTTTTTCTATCCTCCACTCCGGATTCGAACCCGCGACTCTCCTTATCGTTGACGTATATCTTCCGGCCCATTCGGTGATTTACTGTTGTTTTTCCTTTTGTCTGTGTACAAATATTATGGGGTTTTATTGCATCATCAGGGATTATTAATATTTCTTCCTCTGGATTATAAATCTCTAGACCCCTTTTTTCCTCACCTATTTCACCCTTTGAGAAATCAATTGTAGCGTGCGTTGCTATACTTCCAGATAAAGCGATAAAGTGGATTGGTTTCCAGACAGAACCAATTAATTACAAGACTTTACTGCACGTGTATTTTAAGGGTTTTACTTCATTCATATATATTATCATAAATATCTGTAAACTGCAGAACTGGATTATCTTGTAGGAAATGCATTTCTAATTATTTGAAGAATCTACAAAATCGCTAAATCAGATTAAAAAGCGCCGTTTGAAAGATGTATTCTGCTGCCAATTAAAATGTTGTTCCAAATAAAATGCTTACAGCAGTAAAATATCCCCTCTTACATTTACAATTTTATGTTCGCCTTTATTTACCCAGCTTACGTTAACAACCCCATAAAAAAATAATTATACTCTTTTCGTACGTTCTTTAATTATTGCTCATCTAAGGTTTGGAATGTTCATTTCTCTTATAACTTATGAAACACATACCTTTCAAATTAAACCAGCAATTAATAAAGTCTAGAAGGCCGATTCATCTATAATTACTTATATCCATACACCGTTTTAATTAATACAAATAACTGCCGGGCATCGACTTACAGACTTAATTTTGGATACATATACTTTCAGATTATATTTTATAAAAATGTTCCTACTTTTCTATATTATATTTCCATTGTAATATGAAATGCTTATTGATCAAGACCAATACGAGTATCTTCAAGAAAGCAGGAATTTCGTAATTTAATATGCCTTTTATTGGCAACGTCAATATGCAATTCAATCCTCAAGTTTACTCAAAAGACAAATTATTTTTTATATTCTTTAAAAATTAATCTTAAATTTTATATTAAAGTATCAGAAGTAAATATTATATCAAGAATTACAGTGGAACCTTGCTCAACAAGTTTAATACGTTCCAAAATTTTAAGATTTTTACTCGTATATTCAAAAATACACATAATATGTCTTCCCATTTCATCGTCACTCGTTATGCGAGTCATTTTTCTTATAATTCATTTTGCTCATTAAGCGAGGTTCCACTGTATATAGCTAATATATTATAAATACGAAATGTTACAATTTCCATTTAAATTACTGCGTGTTTAAAGAATAGGACTAGGTTTAAGGATAAAATTCAGTTAATAAATAAAAAATTAATTAGTTTCTACAATTAAAATATATTTCATAATCTATTTATAATATTTATTCTAAATTACAAATATGTTTCTGGTATTTAAAACTAGTTTACTCTTTTCATGTTAGACAACCAAAGTTGCACGGTAATTTTGTAAAAACACATGTATAACTTACATCAAATACTTCACATCGAGATTTTACCGTTTTCGTTACTAATAAATTGAATGTTATGTAATATAGATAAACTCTAGAAGTTCGTTTTACTCCAGAAGAATTTCTAGTTTCTCAAGTTGAAAGAAACATACATTCTTGCTTCTATCACTACATTCCAGGGATAAGTTTTATATAAGGAAATCAATTATTCTACGTTATTTAGTAATCTATAACTTTTAACATCTCAATATACTGTAGTTTTCTTTTTTACTTATCGTTCAACATTTCAAAATTATTGTTAATATCTTTTTTTTGCGTGTAAATAATCAAATGTTCCATCATTTTCTTATAAATCAGTCTTTAACGTTTTGATAATTAATTAATTAAGAGCATTGCACACGATTCAAAAGGAGTTTCCTTTATTTCTTTCACAAAATAAAAATCAATTGAAAAATACATAATCACAAATATCTTTTGATAATGTAAACAAATACAATAAAATTTAATAAACACCATTCAGATAGTAATTATCTTCTAAACATGGCAAGACTATTTCCATAAAAAGGCTTAAGGAAATCATGAAGATATGGCATCAAGTTTTACATACAGTTAGCAGCTTATCCAATACTGTTATTACATTGTAAATTCTGTACAATAAACATTGAAAGCTGTTATGTTTTATATATAAGGACATTTACAGAGATACTTGTAGAAAGTTCATATATATATTTTTTCCTATTTTAATTGGTGTTTGAAACAGTGTTATTGAAAATTGGAAACTTAAACATAACAAAGAAAAGATGATGTCTTAGTAGAAACAGTGAACGTTTCAGTACTGAAACTATCATGTCATTATTATGTACACATACTAAAATGTCGAGAACTAAAAATGTGATATGTGAGTAATAAATAAGTACACTAAGAAATAATCAGTCAAAATGAAATGGCTAAATAAGTCCGATGAAGAGTTCCTTTTTAAATAGTTTAAGAGAAAGAGATTCCTTTGTGGCGTTCAAAAACGTAGCCATCAATACTACTTCTATCAATAAAATATGCAATTGGATTAATTTTGTAATATATATACACCTTATTTCTTAACAAAACTGGCTATCCTATGCAAATGCGGCTTCACGTTTAGAGCAGATAATGGGGAAGAAGGAGCTGGCGACGGCGGCGCGGTTAAATTATTATTCTGAGCAGAGTTATCCTTCAGAGTCTGCTCCTTTGCACCACTACAAAAAAAAATCAATGCATTATATACCTGTTCCCAGTACAACGCTGAAGCAAAAGTCTTACAGAAATCTGGTAAGATCTTCTATATCCACAAGCATAGAGTCTTGTTCCATGTGCAAGTCATCCCTGTCCATAAGGAACTTGACTAGATTCTCGTTTAATATTTCAATTTGTGTATGCAAATCATTCACAATGACTTGCAATTGGGCCACATTCATATCAGTCAATATTTGTCGCGATAAGCGGCGTCTGTCTTCCGGGAACGGAATTCCAACTTTCTCCAAGCTGTGGCGCACCATTTCGGTTATTGGCGATTTCTTTTGTCTCTGTCTTTCAATCTAAAAATTAAATAAAAAAATAATTAATTTAAATTTAACAAAAAAAGGACAATTAAACTTACTTCCATCTGCATTCGAGCCATTTCCTTAGCTTGCGCCAAGGCCATTCTAGCTTCAGTCTGCAGCCTAGCCTGTCTAGCAAAGAAGTCCATCTCTGAAGATGGTGGATTGTTCTGTGGCTGAGGCAACTGTTGACCAAACGTAAGAGAAACTGGTCTAGCAGGTGGAGCTTTTGTCTTTGATGGCACTTTATCAGTAGCAGATCTCTTTGGCTGTGGCCTGGGTGAACCACCTTTGCTCTGCTTCGGCTTACCCAATGTGCATTCAGAATCTGAGCTTGGACTCTCTGTGTCAGAAGCAGTTTCATTCATAAAGCATATTTGGAGATTCATTCCACTTTGTAATCTAGCCTGCAGACTTGGTTTGCGACCAGGCCTATCTCCACTGCTGTAATAATCATCTTCATTGCCCATGGCCAATCTCCTACGAATCTCCTCTCTATCAGTCCGTCTCTGCAAACAACAAATAGGTCATTAGAATATATTTAAATATTTATAAATAACAATGCTATTTGCAAGTCAATACACATGAACAATCTATTTCTAGAATAGTAAATTTTTCAAAATCTTACTTTAAAATCACCCTGTACGTCATCATTATCTTCATCATCATTGATAGTAATAACTTTAACAAACCTATCAACAATATTGTGTTCATCTAATTTACTCGGCACATATGGAATCCACTCCATATTATCCCCTTTCTGTGACCACATTGAGTTCCTATTATTACAGGCTCTTGGTGGCAAATATTCATTGATGTACATATCATCCCTATCCACTGCTTTATAATCAACTGTCTTTTGTTTGTTTGATACTGTTACTTTGTATCTCAGATTGTCACCAATCCTCTTTGATTTCATCTTCAATCCATCAGTGAAATTGTTTGTGTGCACTTTAATGCTTGATAAAAAGTTTTCAAACATCTTGTTTGGTGTTTAAATAGAAATCACGCGTACAACATCGACTGAACTCTTCTACTAGTCACATTTATTTTGTTTTTGTTTAGGCACATGGTTCAAATTTCACAGATTTTCCAGGTAGGATTTCAAACATAGGACAGGTAGATATGAGCAAGTGCGAGGTAAACAGAGATGGAAATAGTCGCTGAAGGAGGGATTTAAGTATTTGAGACGCATTGTGACAAAGACCCCCTACTTTCAATATACTAAAGGCAACTTTACAATGTAGAAAATACTGCTTCATTTTTTGTACTGTGCGTTTGCTTCTTGTGTAATCGTTACAGTTATAATAAGTAACCAATCAAATATTGGTGAAAGTAATGCTAGAAATAGATTATGGTATTTCTACATACTATATTTAGTACAAAACAATGAAGTTAGAACATACAAATTAACAATAATAATTAATGAAAAAAAAAGATCCATTAAATGAACAACAAAATATTACATTATAATATACAGTAGAACCTCGCTCATAATATGTTTAAAAATGATGTAGCAGGCGCGAAATCTGGAACTGCTCATCTCATCGTCACTCGTTATGCGAAACGTCGCTCGTTTTTCTTACAATTCATTTTGCTCTCATAACGAAATGCTCGTTAAGCGAGATTCCACTGTATATTTATTAATAAATATTGTTGTTAATTAATGTTAATTTCAATATGCATTTTTTTATAATTTGCAGATGTTGACTCAAAACTATTCGATAGTAGTAACAACAATTCTTAGGCTTTTCTTCTAAATGTTACATTTGTTTATAATTTCTCAATGTCTAAAATATTTTTATTATTTTAATTATTATCATGAATTTAAATTTTAAAAACATTGAATGTAATGTGTAAAAAAAATCAAATCTTACATTTTTTAGCTATGTAAATAGAACTTTGCTTTGAATTTGCTGTTGATAATAGGACTTTCGCGAGGGATCAAAGTTGAAGTCTTCCAGGCGGTAAATTTGAATCGACAATTCAAATTACATTTGAATATTTACTTGTATCAAAATATTTATTTCTATTTGTAAGTAATGTATGTAATATATTACATTCAATTACATCGTAGTGAAAAAAGTGAAAGCATAAAAAGTATTTGCAATATCTGTTAAGAAATCGGTTATTATTAACATCTACGTCCTTAATACAATGTAAAAATAATTCAAGTGAAACTTATGTTCCATATTTTTTTTGTATATATGCACAAGGTTATAGCAAAAAGTTTATAATGAATTCGAGCAAAAAAAATAATTAGTTGCCTCATATATTATGCAATATCGTTTAAATATATTTAAAATTTTATTATTTTTTCCTTTTAATTGTTAACAAATGTTTATAGTAAAATTATAATTAATAATAGTGATGATTGAAAATGATTTTATAAAAGTTATTCATTAACATCGTTATTGTTTCTTTAAATTATTCTCTGAAGACAATATTGTTGTAGTGGAATTGATTTTTGCGTATGTGGTTTAAATTAACATTGTTAGAAGAAATAAGTAGATGAGATTTTTACAAATTATGGAGTCCGCTTGTTGAATATTGATTAATATATGCAACACAATGTGCCAATCCTCTTCCTCGATACTTAAATGTCATTGCAAGTACTTCATTGTTATTGCAATTACAGCAATTACAAAAAAAAATAATGTGCGGCACACGGTCGATGCACAAAAAAAAGATAAGTGTATTTCGCTAATCCGGAATGACGCCATTTATATTCAGTTCGGATTAATATGTAAAACCAATTTTTGGATAAAGTATAAGCGTAATAAATTTGCAGTAGCAATTTGCAGATGTGCGCGGATTATTCCAATTGAAATTAATTTGAAACTTCCGGAAAGTGCAAATCCGCTAACGCCGTTTCGAAATTGTATTAATGAAATGAATGGAATTGAAGTGCATTTCAATCTGTTTAAAACTTACAGCCTCCAAACTTTCGACGGTCTCATCCTCGTCGAATGTGAGGGTGTACAGGTCGTGCAGATATCGCGAGTCCTTCTTGTAATGCCTTTTCCGTTTCAGTACCGACATAACTTCAATGTTTATTCCTTCTCTGGTTTCTGCAGAAGATCACCAACGTTCTGCCCACCCAGTTCTACTTGGTATTAAATGAAATGCACACAATGTTTTCATTGCGGAAAATTGAGTGGAATGAATGGCGCGGAAGGAACCGATGGACTGAGTGTTACAAGACCGTGACGTGTTCGTAATAATTCACGTGGTGTTCCCCTTGCGCGTCTCCTTCGAACCGTTTCATTGTTTTGTTTCATGTACATGAACTATTTTTGTTTTGTCTGTTTGCTTCCTTTTAGAAAGCTTGTTTAATTAGCAACTGCGGTTATTAAGTGAACAGATTGCGGAATCCTTTAAAGGAATTGGTCACCTGCTGATGTGTCCTTTACACAGTTTTAATTGAACGCTTCTTAACATGCAATATCATTAACATATTTATAATATTTCCAAAATACAAACGAAACTGACGATATTTAGTTCAAGCAATGTGAAATATCCTACAACTAAAAGGTTAACCCTAAAAGAGCCTTGACTTCTTAAAATTTGCATGAATTTTATTGTAGTTTATTGAGAAACAATATACATTTGCAATAATAAAGGCAAATGACCGACATATATCAAAATAATTTCATATATTAAATTAAGTAACGAATTCACATTCTATCACTAAAGGCGTAACCCACATACAAATAAATTATTTTTACTGTTAAGTTTTCATAACAGATGGTGGTAGAGCTCTAAACAAAAGTATGTTCAATCATAAAATTAATTCAAAGCTTAGAAAGATTTAGCTAGATATAACTATTATTATTTTTAAAGTATTTCAACAAGAAAATAACAAGAACTTTGTTTTAATCAAAATTGATGTCGTTAATATGTATATTATTTACATGATTTTAATTATAATTCAAGTTCGAAAATGAAAGCCTGTGGATATTTGGAATAATAATTATTATTAAATTAATATGTTACAAATTATGTTGTAAACCGTTTAATTTGAAATGTAGTTTATAGAGAGGATAATAATTATTTACAATAATAATAATTACGTTTCAATATTAATCATAGAAGCAGCGTTATTTATTCAATAAAATTTAATTAATATATGATTAAAATAATTTTGTTTCGTTGGTTTGATTGCAATTATGAGATAATGCAAGTAATTGTAAAAAAAAATGGTATTGATTACTGCATAGGTGACCTGTTTGTAAAGAAAGTTTATTCAATGTAAAGTAGGTGGACAATTGTGCATTGACATTTTTAAATGTCATTACAAGTTATTTATATATTGTCTAGCATTAAAATATAAAAATAATATTGTTAGTAATTACTACTCTTGTGTTACTTCAGTAGAAGGAAACATTATCAGTTTTAATAATTTTATTTGTCACGTAAGTCGTCAGTATTGTTATTATAAATAATGAAAGCACATTGGACTTACTGTAATTTAAAACTATTGTTTAAGCCCTAAACTTTGTAGTAAACGATGTATATAATAACAAATTAGTAATACGTTTTGTCATTTCTACCTGAAAACTCTTAGCTAACTGAAAGTTTCTTAAATTTTGTAGTTTGCAAGATATAAAATTTTGATTTGCATCTATTTTTGAAGCTTACTCCAGAGTCAATCATAAGTTTGACGTATTGTAAACAAATACATTCGAGGAGTGATTCACTCAGAATGTGCGCTAAATTTATATTTTATTTACGTTATGTTCCAGTATAAGTCTACTAGTTGACGTATCGTGGTGACGTCTAGAATGACGTAATTATGATTGTGATATTAGTATAATAAAATAACATATTTATAAAAAATTCTGAATTTTTAGTTAGATATCTATGTATTATTACCGAATTAAAACTAAATAAGTTAGTAAAATATAATAACTACTATGTACTAAATCAGATTTGTAAAAATATGTCATCAAATTACTTTATACACTTTACAATTTAATCATATGTTTATGATAAGACTAATAGGTAAATATATAGAAATGTAAATTAGTTCTAGAAATAGTTCTTAATTTGTTGAGTGAATTTTGAAATGCAATTGAAAAATCGAATTGTAAAATAATTCTGTAAATAGTCATTAATTTGTAACGTTAATTAATACGTTTTGATATATAATGAAAAATAAATGAAATGTAAATGAACACAATTACGTTTTTTTTTATATTTCAATCAATGCATGCTTTTATTAATAGAATGAGTTTATCCCGCAATAAAATTAGTTGCTGTCGCATTATAAAACCACTTCACTTTCTGGCGTGGATAATTTATTTTCTATTGTCCTGGATTTCAATTTACTGCTATTAATTAATTTCGCGCCGAATCTATTCAAAATGATGTCCATACGTGTATGTGACATTATAACGCCATATGCGTCACACCGTAAGCCTGCATTCAAACGGAACGCAATCACACCAAACCCAAACATTTACATCCCTCCATGTACACACATGTAATGCAATTTATTTATTTTCCAAACAGTTTCCACGATTGTGCACAGCATCCGTTCGAAATACTAATTTAATTTTCGGTTCAATGCTTTCGCGAAATATTGCCTTTTCATTCAACGATCATTTCATAAAACGTATTGCTCCCAAAAGGTGCTATCATTATCGTTGTTGTTTATATAGGCGTTTACATAACCGTAATTAACGCGTAATTAAGGATGATGCTGTTATTGCGAGCTTCTTCAATTTTAAACTATGCGAATTTCAATCGAGTTATGTTGGGAGTGGTGATGTATGTAGCTTCAAACCAAATAATTTGTTTCTAATTACCTTAGTATATCTCTTTGGGAATTCCATTGTGGTTTGGATAATATGCAACAGCGCTGAATTCGTTCACTAAATGAATGAGGAGCTTTTTCAGATATGTGCGGTTCAAAGGTCCGTTTCTGACTGGGCTCGTTATTAAATGTGATTAACTAATTTTCAGCGAAAATTCGCGAGAGCGTGTGTCACCTAAATGCGTTCTGTTTATTGGCGTAGGAGAGCATAAACAGATGTGGTGACTACAAACGATATAACAGATGACCACATCGTCACAACAAATGGATGGCAGTTCACAGTACAGATATTTAATGGCCTTATCACTAAAGGTTACGATAGCTATGCGTACAGATTCACCAAAACAAGCGCAATTATCGCACTGCATTGCTATACGTATTATGAATGAAAATGGATGTAATGGAGATTGCTTACCCGTCTTTCCTCCTCGCGCGCTGCCCGAAGATGAGTCTCGATGGCCTCCATGTCAATTTTTGGCATAGCTGTTTCTATATTGTAAACATCGAAGCTGCCTGAAATGGTGGATACAGAAAGAAAGCGCGCATCAGGATCTCAAACTTAAATTATCTATTATATATTTACCGAAAGTCTCTGGGGAGTTGCGTTTCTTTTCCCTGGTTAAAGGAAGAGATCTCCTATTCATGGGATCGCGCGATCTTCCATTATTTTCGCGCCTCGGAATTGTAATCAAGCTTCCAATTTGCTGACTCGGGTGCCGTCTCTTCTTCACCTCGATTTTCTCCTTTTTGCAGGGAACTGCACTATCTTCGTCCTTCTCCTTTTCATCCTTTGTCTTATCCTCCTTGCAGAACTTCTCCTGCTCTTCGCTTCCAACCTTCTTCTTCTCCTCCTGTTCCCTGTTAGAATCTTTGCGCGTCAACTGGGACTTCTTGAATATCTCATTGTTTATTTCCAGCAGCTTATCGTGGGCTCCTGATAAGAACGCATCTTGAAATTGAATCGATTGATTCATGTTAGAAACAGTTTTTGAGTCTTCAAGTATTTCACTTTGGCTACTTTGAGCTTTATTAAAAGGTAACTCAATGTTCGGTAAAATTTTGTATTTAGAAGCGGATGGTTGTATATCCTTTTCTGAGTTTAAATTTTCCGCAGCGTCTTCCAACTCTGTCTGGACAGCTTGTTTAGGAGCAAGAGCATTTGGGTCAAAATTATCCTCGAAACAGGTTAAGCTAGGCTTGCAATTACCGATGGCCTCTTTTTCGAAAGAGCTTTCCTTTTTGGTGTCATCGATAGAGCAATTGCCGATGTCAAAAACTTCTTCGAATTCTTGTAAAGATTTACTAAAATTATATTCGGAATCGTTAAAGGGGTCCTGAAATATCGGTTCCCGTTTTAAATTCGTCTTAGTATCTTTTGGTTTCAGCAGTTGCAGAACGCCGTAACCTATTTCTGTATCGGTGGGTGTAAACAGATCCGGTGCGTAGGAATCTGTGTTTGTGCTGTTGCAGAGTCTCTGCACCGATTTTTCCAAGTCGTCGAAGATTTTCGCGCTGCTCAAATCATCCGTTGCCTTCCCTTTGGTTTCGTACGTTTTGGGCTCGAAAATCCGGCCGAATTCGCGTGCAATCTCTTCACCGAAATTACCAATTATGTTTTGTGTCTCTGCTTTGTCCGTCAAAGCCTCATCGGTTTTGATGTTCAATGAAATTTCCGGCTCATTGGCGTTTGAGCAAATGTCGAAGACAGGCTTCTCGTAGAAGANNNNTCTGTATGTTCTCGACGCTATCCAAACGATTGACGCTTTCAATTTGCGACGTGGAGTCCTCCTGATTGTTGTTTAGGCTGTTGGCATCGGTGGCATCGTAATCGTCCTCCTCGTCTGAGTCGGAGACGTCTTTGATTGTGTAATCCAGAGTATGGGCCAAATGCTGAAATCCCGGATAGTTTGGATTGACGATTCCCTTGCGATGGTTCAGGTTGCCCTCTTCGGAATCTGTGTCTGAGTAATCGAAGCCGCGATCCTCCTCCTGCGGCGATGCATCTACCGATGAGCTGCTTTGATGCGCGTCTACAACTTCGTAAATTAGATAATTGTTTCGTTAATTGTTTAATGTTTGAATTGTTACCTTCGTAATCGAGAGAGCTATCATCTGGCGAAGACTCGGAGCAGATTGATGAGGCGTTCCGATGCCTCGGGGCATTCGATAGTGAGACAGCCAGGGTGTTGTTGATATTGTATAATCTGTTGTTCGCGTTGTTTCTTAGCTCGCGATTGGTCGAACCACACCATCGCACCTCGGCGTTGTTGATGTTGTTGAGGACGATGGTCTCGTCGTCGGTTACGGAATTCGATGTAGACAGCGTCCCATTGCTCACCTCATTATTACTTAATTGCTGATTGCTGATCGACTGATAATTGTTGGGAGACACGTTGCTGTTTTGCACTGTGTTCAACCTTTTCGGTGAGTTCAGCACGTCTCTGCCGTTACCATTACAGACGGATAGATGACCGCCCTCCGCGTTCTTCAAACGCATGTCCTGAAACATAAATCGTCGGGTTTAGGTTAATAATAATACACAGCTCTCCGTGCGAGACTTTTATTTTTTGCTTATAAATGCAGGTTTTATTTAATGAGTTTTGGACGACCCACGCATCACGACTCTCCGACAAATACGGAAAATAAAAAGGAGAATCCGCAGAAAACAATGCACATTCAGGCACCCACGCCGCTCTTCTTTTTTCATTTCACCCTCTGCCCGCATCGATCTGCTTTTCTCCCTATGCGAATGGAATAACAAGACTTTTTAAGTTCCATACTTCGTGTTTTTTTTCTACTAGCAAATTAAATTTTTACTCATTCAGCGAATTAAATCACGTGCATAGATGGGGGAGAATAAGTGGGTCACAAAATTTACAACCGAGCAATTTCATTAGTGAATGAATTATAAACAGAAAAATCAATCTGTATGTACATCAAAATACCTTGAAACAAGAAAAAACTTAAATAAATCAATGACAGGAACTAATTTAATAATGTATATTTTACTTTTTGTGTTAGTTGCAATAAATATTGTTATTATTAACATTATCATTAACATTATGAATAAAGTCTATTTGAATTATATTAATTACCATTATAAAAAGTAATCCTTAAATTTGTATGGTAAATCATAGTGCACTTATTGAAGCTCGCATGAATGAGAATAACTTTGCTTTTCTAAAGCGATACCCATCTGAATGTAAATATAGTATATGCACAAAGTAAACTACAAGTTAAATGTTCACATTACAACAATAAGTCCTTAGCATATATACGCACAATTGGTTAGATGTTTAATATCTGTTGCGTTGTGTGCGGAGTGTGTTGGAGTAAGTAAAAATTGTGCGGTCGGTCATAATGTTGGATACAAAAGAACTAATATCCACTCACGCACCACACACCATCTATATACTACACTACCGATCTATGGATTGCGCGCATATGGCAGATGGATAGTTCCATAGCTCGTATCGACACATCCTCTGCCTTTCCCCTCTTCGTTTAGATATTTATTTATTTCATTCCCTATTTTTAGATTCATATATACTACTGCTGATGTTCCTGCTGCTGCTGCTGTGGGGCCACGATGAGAGCAATAAAACAGGAATGCTGTAAACTAGATCGAGTATAATTGAACTCGATAAAATTCAATTGAAAAACGCTTCTCACCCACTTCATTTCCACCGGCATTGAGCCAAATTTAATATTATACTATTCCATTTGAAATATTCGGCTCATCGCTTATGACACCTATCACAAAACCTGAACGCGTGAATACCGGAATGTTTTAATTACTATCTATGAAATGAAAAAAAATATATATATACGCATGCTTTGTCCGTATATAGAGTTTTTCATGTCCAGTGCATCTGCGTAACAATAAAAAAATCTATATTTTTACATTAAAATTTCCAACCCTTTTTGAATAAAGGCTGCTTCAAATTCCATTACAATAAAAAAAAATCGTATTTGATCTCATAAAATATCGTACATTCGAAAAAAAAAACACAATTCGATTAATTCATACGCTTTCATAAATAAAATAAAAATGTTCCATAGAATTTTTACAATGTATTTTCATTTAATCACATTGGGTAAAAATCCAAAGCTCGATGTAATCCTATTATTCCTTGTAATATACTCTAATTGTTCAGAGAAAAATCTTCAGAATATTATGAAAATATTATAAATATTCAAGGATAAATCTCAAAGCGTCTAGAAGGAAATGTACATTTTGGGGTCACAATAATATATTTTTTTCAAGCTCAATATTTCTTACGTTCACATTCACATGGCAAATGAAGAATTGTCCAAACTTTTATAATAATTATGCAATTATGAATATTTTATTAACAGTTTTTTTTATTCAGTTCTCATGAGTCAATTACATTATTAAAGTAAAAAAAAAGATAATTTAAGTAACATATTTATTCTATTAATAAATATTATTAAAATAAAGAAAATATCAATAAATTGATAAATTGATAAAACAATTAATTTATAAGTTAGAATTTTCTATTATTAAACACAATCAATTTACGTTCATTAAAAATAATAAATTAATTGATTTCTAGTTTTCTTAATTATTAATTTAAAAGTGTTACTTTAAGTTATAAGTATCTTTTAATAAACACTACAATTTTAGTTAAAACAACAATTGTATTTTTGTATGATTTTAAAAAAATTTAACGAAATATAGTGAAGTCAATAGGCTTTGTATATTCTGGCTTTTCATGAAAAGAACGGTGAAATTGAGCTATGTAAAAAAAACTGGTATTGTCCTGAGGTCCAATCAATTTATCGATTGCGGTGTAGCTGTTAGCGGCACGCTATTTGCTCTCTTTGTTTATTTTTTTGGTTGCCTCTTAATAAATAATAGAAAGGAAAAGTAATTAGCGGCGTCGCGGCGCCCACACAGTTTAGTAGTGCGGTGAAGTTTCTAATAACCGGCGAGTGGGGCGAAATTAAACTTTGGACCGCAAACTTATTGCTCGGCACGAAACATTTTTAATATCCCCCAACCGAAACCCTTGACGCCAAAAAAAAGGGAAGTAAAGGACTCCTTTCCCACCCATTCATGCTACTCTTTTTTATACTTTCGGTTATATAAACAGGCCAAGCATATTTTTTCTTTCGTTCCCGTCTACCATTACATCTACATAATTCATTTTCTAATTGCTTGCTTTCTAAAGTACGCAATTTACATATACATTTTGTTTTCGTTTTTGTTTTATACAAAACAATGCAGAAATAAAGCAGTACGCATGAAGTTTCTGAAAAAATAATACTAATTTTAGGAAAATGTATGTGAAATTATGAAAATCTAATTGCAAGATTGACATAGTTATTCCATTAAGATTTACTAACATCAGTCTTGATTCACTACAGTTCGGTTTGAAAATGTCTAAATAAAAATTCTTTGTTTTCCTTCGTATTTTATTATTTAGTTTCTTTAATCCGGAATGTTTCAAACAGTCCGGGATAGACATAGGACTGGTTACCCGCACTATGCGAGGTATTGCAATTATACCTTTTATAACTTCTCGTGTACTTCAAGATGAACATGTTGAATATAAATTTTAAAACAACTACTCGAATCATCCAAATCGAATCATCTTTGACAGCGTGATGAATTTCGTGCATCAAAGTCAATTACACACGGATTCACGAACGGTCTATAATTAATTTTTCGTGGTAATATCATTACTTTATCACGTTAACAAGTGTAGCCTGTTTCAACTAGAAACTCGATATGTTTAATCATCCATGACAATGTTAATATCTAATTATTCAACTACTATTATAACATAATTACGCTTTTATATTAAACGAGCTGTTTTGATAATTACATATTTGCAATAATTATATAATTAAATGAGTAGTAACTAAAGTATTTCATCTTAGAGAAATTTCATTAATTAGTTAATATACCTTCTCGTGTATTCTGAATTTGATTTATACAATATGAAACAGTGTGGAAACTTCATACGCTCGGGGACTTTGCTAAGTTTGACATTTAATTATTTACTGAACACCTCCGGTGTTTACATTGGTGCGAAACTCAAATAGCTTTTAAGATATGCTAAAACTATTAAATTAAATTAAATTTATTCCACAAAAGACTTACATAATAAATCTACTATTAGTGTCAAATATTCTCATTACGAAGCTTCGATAATTTCAACCAATTTCAAAATATTACAATCATTTGACAAAATATAGCCAAAATTGTACTAAAAGAAGAAAATAACATCAAATAAATTGTTGAATGCAGTTTTTCAGTGGAAGATTTAGACAACCTTATATGCAATGAAGAGAAAGAAAAGACGAAGACAAAATTAAAAATTTAAATAACATTGAAAACGTTTTATTGTATTTGTTATGACATTATAAATATCTAAGATAATGATAACAATAAAGTGTAATATTTTAATTAATTATGTTATAGTGTGGAGGTTAAGAAGAAAAAATATTTAAAATTTTGGGTATATGAATAAATATTAATTAAAGGAGTGCAATTAATAATTAAGTACAATTAACCCGAAACAAAGTAATACTTATTTAATACTGAAAGGGTACTTAAAATAGAACATTTAATTTGGTTCTGTATTTAATCCTTGGAGTGTAGTGGCGCCACTTCCATTAGCGGCGGTGACTTTGCATTAGTCATACATTAAAGAAGACATTCTGATAGAATACGCTGGTCGCTGTCCTCTATCTTCTTCGTCCTTCGACCCTTTCAGCTCCTTCTCGTGCTCCATTAATAACAAAATTAATCTAATATTATACAGAAAACTCTGTCACTTCATCCGTTTTCTACTAACTACTCTTCATAGTTATTTTTCGCATGTAACGCATTAGATAATTACGTAAAATTTTGCACACATGTATGTGAGAGAGAGGATAAAAATATAGGAGAAAATATCGTCATGTAGGTCGCATGTTTTCAAGCAAATCTCATCAGATATTCACGAATGTGCATGGAATTCTTTCCAGAAATGTGGGACTCAAACGCACGCAAATTCATATTTTATATGTGTGTGTGTATTCTGTTTACGTCCAATTTTGGCACAGTGATGTATAGCAAAACATATAAATAAAGTTTAAAGGTCGAATATTTATCAATTCATATACAAAATTTAATATTTCTTTAAGATGATTTTTTTAAATATAATGTAAAATTAATATCTGTCCAATTTAAACTGTCGCTTTAAAATTTATCAGGCAATTATGGGAAAAAAGTATATTTCTCTATGTAACAGTTTCTTCTTATGGTCGGGAAAATACCATAAATATGTATTTATATATATTTAAGAATTATTTGGACAGTTTTAATTTATGTACAGCAAGACTTCGTTTAACGAAGTCACAATTATTATGTAAACGTATCAAATTCAATGTTATCTAACTTATTAATAATTATATATTATATCATGCGTAGTGTGGATACAGTATAAACATTTATGAATAATATATTAAGCTTATAAAGTATATAAC